TTAAATCCAATCACCACAGAAGATTTGAGCTCTTCTACTTGGATCTACTCAGGTGTCCTTGGTGAAGGAGGTGGAGGGAAGGGAAGGAGAAAAAGATAATCCATTCTAAACCAAACATTTGAAACAATATTTAGCCTATGGACTAAGCATCCTGCAATCCCCAGGACAGACTGGGGAATCAGGGGATGGAAAGAGTTGGCTTGAACAAACCTGTGAAGCAGCAGTCCTTACCTCTGTTCAGAAGACCTTTTTATGATTCTCCTCTGGAAAAAAAAGTCCAATTAATTTGCAGAAATTAGCTTAGATGTCATTAAAGAAGAGGATTCAGATAATGTTCCATATTTACATAGAAGCCACCAGTTCCAGGTGCTACCAACTGAAGATACAAAGTTTTTTGACACTTATACCAACCTGAGAAGTTTAGATGGGCCAGTCCACAGGAGACTGCAATGCACTGTAGCTTCTGGTATTGCTTTTGTGGGCTATGAGTCCTCCTGCCTAGATTTCAGTTCAATCCTAAGCAGCCTTCTGGTATTCCAGTGTAAGGACCAATACCTCATGGCTCACTTTCCCCAACTTCTGAGTCTTCTCTCCTCATCCCCTTGTTACCTATTCATCTTTTAAACTCTCATGTAGTTCACCAATCTTCAGTCTTTTGACTATTCAATAGTCTACTATGAAACAGGATGACAGTATCAATGTAGAAATTTAGTTTCCTGCAAAAAGGGTCAAGAGTCACAGAGTTTGTACACAAAGACACTTTAATGCAAATCAAATAGTACTGTTTCATTCTAAGGTGCTCCACATTCTCAAACACCCAACACTGAGCTTCCCAGTTTTACCATTCCATTGAGAAATTCACTTTTAGTCTAAAGAGCAGAAATTTTAAAAGACAACTCTTTAATTTTTACTTTTTTTTATTTAATCAATACAGTATTTCAATACCAACTGTTAAATCTTTATGAGCAACAGGAGCATATTCTGCAAATTTGTTGATCACTATATAGTACAACCTCAAAACTCTTATCCAAAACCCATGTATTCCAAAATTAGGTTTCCTCCCTCAACATGCAACATTTGAATAAAAAAGTCCTGACTTACTCCAAAAAAATCCACTATGCAGTTATATAAACTCAGATCTTTTGACAACCCCTCTGGCTTATGAAGACACAGGTTTATATAAAGAAGCTTCAAAAGAAAATGAAAAATGAATATTATTCTGCTGAAATTTGCAAAGGATTCTAACAATTCCATTACCATAGCAGTACATATACATAAAGACACTGTGTCCAGTAATATAGTATTTCTGAAGGACTATAATTGTTCTCTGCAAAAGGCTGTGGCGTGTTATACTGTGACTATATCAGAAACTAGTGTGCAGCCATTCCATTTTATTTAAGCCTTCATAATTAGGAAAGTATCTCTGTTGAAATTATATTTATTAAAAAAAATAAATCTTACTTTAGCTTACTAAAAAAAGTGCACATTATGTAAGTGCAGGCTCCATTTCACCATTTCTACTCCTTGTTTGTTCTACATTTCAGTTCCAATTCCCAGTTTTTCATAATATCCTGCAAGGCTTGGACTGCAGAAACGAAGGCTATATTTGCCTTTAATCAAAACACTGGTTTTAAAGATTTTTTCATCTGACCAACACATTTCAGGCAATCTCAAGTATTTCAAAACATTCTTTACCATCTTACAGAATCAAAAACTCCACCACTAAGTCGGGGCCTTTAAAAAATAATCTGAAAACAGTATACACAATATTTCAAGAAAGCAGAGCAGCTATGGAGTTGAAAATGGCAATATACACATTTTAAACATTAAAACAATCCTCCTACTTTCTGCATGAGGCCTCTGGACACAAAGACATTGTGCATTTCACATGTTTTTTTAGTCCCATATTTGTAACTGGAGAGGCAAATTTTCAGAAGGATTTCTTGTCTAGCTAACAGAAAAATAAATCTCATTGTAAATGCAGTGCTGTTGCTGCCTTGATTCTCTCATATCATGGAAAGTACCAAACTTCTTGTCCTTGCTTACAAGGTTCATGTTTATACTCAGTGTCATTGTTGATGACTGATATATGTTGGCTGGTTTTAAAATAAGTAACTTGGGAAGATTGATAAAGAAGTAGAAAGCTCTGATTTGTTGTGGATATACTGTTTCAGTTTACAGAGGAATGTGTCATCTTTGCTCACAGCCAGTGAAAAATATTTTAACTCAACAGAAAGCATGGAATTGCATGATATTGTGATGAGGAGTTTCAAAATTCCTACAAAAATTTAAATCATTATGCCCAAACCCAGCAGGAGGAACACAACTTGAGCACATCTTCCATCCACACTCTCAGTCGTAATTCTTGGATAAATCCTGCATCCATCTCTGGAGAACATCTTGAGGGACAGATGAAGAGAGAGCAGGTAAAAGCTAAGGTGCAATGCCTGGTGTGCAGTTTCTCTGTGCCCTGTGGGCAGTGTAGGAGAGAGGATGTCTCCCTGCAGCTGCATGCAGGACAGCTGAAGGACAGAGCAGAAGCTGTTCCAGGTATCTGTCTCCTCCATGCCTTGCCCATCCCAAGGCTGGGCTGTTGCAACCTGGGAAGTGGCTCTGCTGGGCAGAGGTGGAACATTATATCCAGTGTATCCAGAGGAAGCACCTCAGCTTGGAGCTGCAAGGGATTCTTCCTTTCCTTGGCTATTTGATGCAAAAGATAATGGTATCAGGCAGCTGGCTGCTGACAGGGAGCTGTGTTACCAGTCCCTCTCTCTTCTCAGAGGGAAAGAAGAAAAAATGACTTCACATCTGACTATTACAGATACTAATACTTTTTGTCAAAAGCAGGAGCACACAGAGATTCTACAAAATACTGTCTAGACACTGGAGCACACTGGCTAAAAGAAATCATTTGAGTACAGGCTTAATAAGGCAGGGTAAAAAAATCTACCACCTTACAGTTAACAACACTTTGAAAATTAGTCTGCTGTGTGTGATTTCAGTGATGTCTGAGGGAGACAAAGCTCGTTATGTTCATGTTTTTCATACTTTTCAGTCAAATAGATTGCTGAATAATCATGTTCTCTTTATTCTAATGGGTGAGGAAGCTATTATACAGAAGGTGTTTCCATATGTTGCTGTTAATAAAGGCAATTCTTACTAATAAGAGTAGGTTGTCTCCACTCAGCTATCTGATTAAAAGCCCTCCTGTTTAGAGGAAAATGCAGATCTGGTGCCTAGAAGACTTCTAGAGCTGCACATTTCAATGGCTACTGGAAAGTACTGTAGGTAGATGAATTCCAGGTCTTCTCCAGCTGAGTCTGAATCAATGACATTCACTAAAATGTTCAGGGCACTAGGAGCAAGCACTCCATGTCTTCAACCTCTCCTTGTATCCATCCTTTTCTTGCTGGTGAAGGACAGTGGACAAGACCTGGATCCATCTTTATGGAAAATCATCAGAAAGTCCCTTCAAGAGGTCAGAGTGCTTTTTTCTTTGAAGAAGCATCTGGGTCACTGTCTTAGGAGCTCAGAAAATCCTACATGGAGAGTATGATTAGGCTGAGATCACAGATGCTCTTTCAGACTGAAACAATAAAATGCATGAGGGAAAATAATTTTGGGGGGATCACCCGGAAGTATGAGATGTCACTTACATCCTTGTCTTTCTAACCACAAAGCTGGGTGCATGCCCACAACTGGATGAAAACCTCACATCTGTACTATGCTGTTGGAGCTATCTAGTAAATGAAGAGGAAAAAAAAAGTCTTGAAGCTCGTCCCAGTTTGCTATGACGTGTTCAGTGTCTGACCACATCTTTAAAGCCATATGGAATCCAATCCTACTGAAGGACAACTTGCCTCAGACGATTGATATATCCCAACTAGGTTCACACAGCAGTGCTCCACACTGGATTTCTCTGGATTTCAAAGTAGGGCAGAGATTGTTCACCTGTAAGTACCTGAGTAGAAATAAAAGACCTGCCTCTGTTGCCATTCCCACCTTCAGGGAGACGGACAGTTTCCTACAAGAAGTTACAAAAGGCACATCATCTCTCCATGGTAAGTATCCACCTGTAGCCTTACATTTATGAATTCAAAACATTCTGCAAGACCTCTTTATCCAGACATATAAAAATGTAGAAATTATTTTGTGGAGAGACATTACTAATAGGAAATAAACTGTTTCTTCATGTCTTCTGGGAATGGTGTTCTGCTGGTTTTCACTATTCAGAATAGGCTTCAAGAAATGCAAAAAATACCCAAAGAAATAGGCAGATGTTTTCAAATACAGAGACAATGGGACCAGTTCCTACACATGCACCTAGTCTGGCTGGATATTTACTGTCACACATAATACTTTCCAGGATTTTAAACACAGCTAATATGGCCAACATTTTCAAAATTGGACACTAATGATGGACATTTCCTAATTCAGTCTAAGTTTCAGAACTGCTGAACTATACCTTGTCCTTGTGGACATTCAGTACAGAAAATCCAATCCAAGGTAACTCAAGCCAATACTGAAAAATATGAACACTCCAAGTTTGCAGTTCTGTTTGAAAATGCAACACCTCAATTGAAAATGCAACACCTAAATCCCATTTTAAAGACACTGTAATGGTTTTGAAAGCTGCATATTTTTTGTTGAGCCACAAGAAGGCATAGACAAATGTGATGGGTGGACTCTGCATCCATTTAGTGGGACCAGTGCAAACAGCCCCTCCCTGACCAGCCAACACTGTTGTCTGGGAACGGAGGGAATCTGGGATAGGCCTGTACAGTGAACCAGAAGTAGCCCTGGCAGAGATGAGGGAAAACAAGGGCTGCTGTTGGATCCTGCCCAGAACACGGAACCCGGCCACAATATGTCCACACAAAGTTTCTGTCACAGAGATGTGGGAAGTCCTGTTATGTCTGCATTCACAATTAGACATGATTTTGACATTATTATGGTGCTGATGCTGTTATTTCTTCAGTGTATGATGGGTCCTGGCTCTGTTGGGGCCTGCCTATTGTTCATGAGAGACTTTGTCTTTGCAATGATCGGAGAACAAGGTGTTCTGGAAGCTCTTTTCAGCTGTGACCTGGTGAACTTCTTACGGATTTTTCTGTAAGGAGGGAAGGAGGAAAGGAGGGAAGGAAGAGAGAGACAACAGAAGAGATAAATCTCAGTCTTTAACAGAAGACTGCACAAGAGCCAATAACAAACATAACAAATACTCTTACCAGAGCAGGAAGGCTAGTTCATGGAAAAGAGACTTGCAGTCAACAAGAGTCAGCCCTGTCCAGCAACTGATGATTCAGAGTTGTCTGATAATGGTTCATCAAAAAGTGAATTGGTGTTAGATAATACTTGAATAATAATATTTAATTACATGAAATCTTGGGCCAGAATGCCCAGGTAGTGAATCCTCACATGTGATACCGGTAGTGGAATGAAGGTCCACAGAAGAGAGGACCATGTTAGCACCCAATGAACGTGCTACCTCTGTAAAAGTGGGAGTAATTGTTGTTATTTACACTGCACCACTTCCAGAGATAACACATGATCCAGAGCTCCGGGCATTTTTACTAGGGCCATTCAGGTGCAGTAAATTAATTTTCACTTTTGACTTTCAGCTGATAAATGAAACATATTAACTCCAGGTGGCCATGTTGTTTGTATTGTAATCCTAAATATCCAAGAATAGTTAATTTTGAAGCATAAATACTTGCTATGTTTCAACTGCTCTGTCTCTTTACTAGTATAAGTCAATAACCACAATGCTGAGGGTGTTCAGGGTATGGTATCAGAAAAGGTACACACAGAGTTTGCCAAGAACCATCTTCATTGGCAGAGACCTGAACATTAGATGCTGCTGGAAAATGACCTACTTTCTGAATTTACTGAAGAATCCCAGCCTTTGTTTCAGTAGTTTTGCAAATTATAGGGATTTTGAGCTTATGGAAATGAATTAAAGCAAACTGAGGCCTCTAATACTTAATGAGACCAGGCTTTCTAATTCAGACTTTTTGACTTGAAAATGTTACCTACAAACTACAGGGTGATGAGGTGCCTACCTGCATCAAGGTTCTGAGATGGTAACTCAAGGAGTGGTTTTTCCCTTTCATCTAAGTGGGCTGTTACCTCTGAAACTGAAAAATGGTGGCACATGACATTGAAAATACATGATCAGCTGTAAATAAATTCTATTGAATTCTAAAATAGCAATTGGTATATTAAATTTCAAACATTAGTTTGTTACTAGTGAGTTACAGGTTGAGTGGTCCCCAGGGATGTAAGCTTCCATGTTAACTGGGACACAGAAGAGAACATAAGGGGGAAAAAAAAAAAAACAAACATGCAAAAAGCAGAAGAATATACTCTGCTATTAGAAGTTAAAGGGAGCCTGAAAAACACATCTGTTTTGGTTAATATATCTTAAAGGTTCAGAGATGTATTCCATTTTGAAAGAAGGATGTCTTCATGTCCTGGAATACCAAATTAGGCTTTAGCACCATTCAGCAATAAGCAAAACAGAAGAAAAGAAAAGGGATCACCATAAATTTCAGTTTCAGCTTTTCACACAATCCCACTGAGGAAAAAAAACCATATTTGCTTTATATGGTCATCTTAAATTAGGCAAAAAAAGATACTTAATTGATTGCAAAGATATTGCATACCTTCCAGAATGGTAAAAGCATAGAAATGTAATCTTAGACTGGCAGAAATGTGTCTATCTAAAATAATGAGATAGCCAGGCTTAATGAATTCATGTGAATAGACAATAGCTATTACCCACACCAATCACTAAGGGGGACCATCTCCACAAAACCTTACAGAAGTATTTGTTTGCAAAACTTTATTTACAGAAGGAATGTGGTCATTAATCATTTGAGAAGTGCAAGGTTCAAATAATATCAGATCATTGCTTACCCTTCTGAATTTTTAATAAGGCAACTTTATAAACTGCCTAGAGGTTCCTGCTTATGAAAGTAATTTGCAGCTGACACTAGATGTAAGGACAGTAAAGGATTTGAGATTGCAATTTGTCATTATTTTGTATGGACAGTAAAGTGAAAGATACAGGTATTCCCATTAACCACTGGTTCAAAACCAACACAAAGAAAGGCAGAACAAGAAGGTCATCACATTATTATATCAAGCAAGCCACAAACAGAGGAAACAAGAAACTAGCTCTATATACTCTGTCAGAAAAAACTAATCTGCTAGGCACTCTTAAAAGGCAATCCAGCACTTCTGCTTAAACAGGAATGCGAAAATGCTTCCAGAAATTAGCTTTCTGGGATACAGCCTTTCAGAAATAAAACTGGAAGAATGGAAATTTCCACTGACTGCATTACATGTTATATTTAAACAATCATTTCTTAAAAGCCAAAACTGTTCTTTTTACTGCAAAAATTATAGAAGGTAGAATCTTTACACTGAAGAATTTAGCATCTAAATACAGTCTAGCCTTTTGAGACACATTCATCAGGTTTCGCAATTCTTCAGAGTCTTTTTAACACTTAAACATGCAGGTTGCAATAATAGCTGACAAAAGACAGGATATTCAAAGATAAAATTGTTGTCCCTCTTTCACTCATAGCACTTTGCCCTCCCCCAAAGATACACTGAACTAAGGGCAGAGTCAATTTTAATGCTCAATTTCCTGTCCCTCTTTCAGTTAATCCCAGCCATATGTTTTAATTACATCAAGCTTTTATCTGGCAATGGCAATAAATGGCTTTAATATCTGCATCGTTGGTAACATCCTTTGCAGTTGTTAGGACAGATTAATTGCCATTTCCCCTGTTTTTTTTTTCTTTGACTTTTGTACTACTTCTTGAAGCATAATGCATTACAGGCTTGAAATGCTAATTCAAAAGTATTTTAAAGCCTTTGCTTTGAATTTCTAGTCTTCTTGAGACCAAAGGTGTGAGAATGAGCTAAATATTTAATAGGGAATCAGTATGTAAAGCCCACTGTGCTCATTTTGAGGTAAAATGTGATGCACGGGTGTAATGTAGGAATAATACACATTTTTTATGTCTGCATGACACTTCAATTAGTAACTGCAGATAAAGGTACACAAGACCCTTGGCACATAGGGAAATATGGAAATGTACATAAGTCTATGTATGGTCTAGATGTATGTAAAGGTCTAGATGAAAACCTAATGATTCCGTTCAAGTTTCATACACAGACTGAAAGCTCATGGGTAGAAATAATAGTTAGGCTGTACAGGGCATTTATGCCATGCTTAAATTTAATCGGGCGAGTCCTTATAATTAACCAACCCTTTCTCAGGATCCAAGTGTGTTCCATGTAACTCACCATCTGCTGAAGTGAAGCACAATCCTATATAATCTATTCTGTCCAGATTTCTCAGAATAGGATAACTGGGAGCAAAATTTCACATTTGCAAAAGCTGACTCAAAGTTCCCTTCTCTAATTCTGCCACACACTACAACAGCATCAATTTTTAAACTTGAGTCGAATAAAGAGAGGCCTCCAACTGGCATTAGTCAAGTCTGTGTTTTCAAGCCTTTTCTAGTAGGACTGGAAGGCATTGCCTGCTTTAAGTTTGTTGATACAGACTGTTACTGTGTGCTATATATAAACTGTTGTGCATCCATGTTGCCTCCTCTGCATTGGACTCAAGAGCTGTGATGACTACACTGACTTTGGTCTTATCAACTGTACCAACAGGACTTAAGAAGCAATATTAAATAAATACAAGTTATGCAAGAAGTTATACAGTGAAAGAAATTCATTGCATGCAAATGCCTGCTGATATTTCAGCAGATGACAAACCTTGTTTTGAAAGAAACCTTTTCCTAGGAAGGGGAATTGCCCTCAACATACATGCACTTGTGAGATGTCCATAACTCTTCTTAAATACCAAGGTCCAGAATTGCTTTTGGTGCTCTGTTTCCACTAAAAATACTCTAATGATCTAATACAAACCTGGCTACAGAGTCTGAAGCTCAAGGACACAGTTTTGTTTTCCTCACTCTCCCTAAATTAGTTGGATATTTTTGACTGAGTCTTTTTTAGACTGATGCCATTTGAGCAACATCCTCATATGTAAGGACTGGTGCTGTGGAAATGTATTGTTACCCAATTGCTGGTAGCACAAGGAACACCCCCAGGTCAGCAGCAGGCATAAGAAAACTGATTTCCTGCACAATCATAGTTGAAATTCCATATAATCTCTCCACTGGGGTGAAGTACTCTGCTACAACTTTCCAAGTGTAAACAGCAACATAAATGTGCTAGATGCATAAATACTGCCAACACTGGCAGAATTTTGTGTTCTGGCACAAATTATGTGTGAAACTTGCAATCAGTCTAACCACAGAGCCATTCAGAAAGAAAACAAGGCTAAAAAAATAAGAAAAAAAACCCTGTATTCTAGAGAAATGTTTGTGACGTTGCTGCTGCTCCAAGGCAATATAAATTTTGTGCAATGTAAATTTTCATTTTCAAAGTGCAAATTCATGGCCACTTAGAAAAAACAACTATTTAAAAGAATAACCATAATTTCTTGGTGGTAATTAGATTAAATAATCATTTATTTCTCTGAGGGCTTCTTTTATCCAGAGGTATATTTTAACTATTCAGTGAATTAAATTACAGGAAGGGGTACTATCCTAGAAAGCTGATAGGCTTTTTATTCATTTCAACAGGTTTTAAACATAGTGAAATGCCAAAATGTGTGCAGTGCTGCCTGCTGAAAGAGAATTTAACTGGGATGAAGCTGTAGGCACAGATCCTTAGAAACCTGATATGTTACTGACTGAAGGACTCCCAGCACTTCCCACATTTCTACCTGTGTGCAAATGAGAAGTATTTTATTTAACTCTTTGGTTTGCTGCTTTAGATTTTGTTTTCTCCCTCAACACTTTCAGGATGAAGCTTTCCCATATTGCCTTAAAATTTTAATCGAACCTCAACATGACAGAAATGAGTTAAAAATAGTTTTGGAAGGCAGAAGTGGGTTGACACATACACCTTTTAAAAATAAGGGCCTTAGGAAATGTTAATTTATAAAAACAAAAGGGAAGACTTTAATAAGCATGGGACTACTGGAAAGCTGTTGCCATGAGCCACATAGCTGCATTA